CTACATGCTAGCGGTTTTAGTTACTTAATTTTCGAAAATTAATTAATTAAAAAATAGAATTAACTTAAAATAACAATAAAATATTTGTTTTCTTTATAAAAGAGACGCATGAGAATGCGTTAGTTTGCGACATGTGTTAGTATGTGATGAAGAGTTAAATTCGTTTACTACGCAACGGCCGAAATAAAGGCTCCACCGTCCTCCTATCCCACTATTCCCTCCACTGATTTCCATTAGAAACAAGCAAAGTTGGATCTCCTGTTCTGTAGTCTTTTTGATCTGTACATTTGACATTATCGGCAAAGTAATGCACCAAACCGTAGATAATTGCCTAGGAAAATTACGATTAAGAAAATGGTGGATGACTTCGTTGAGAAATACCCCGAGTATAAATCGGCAGGTATTTATGACGTTTATAGATGTGAAGCAAATGATATGAATATATCTTTTGCAAAACTCGGAAATGAAGAATGCGAAACCTGCGAACAATTTAAACAGCACAATCCTTCACACTAAAACCAATTTATGTTCTTCATGCAGCGTCTGCAATGATTGGTTGCGTCACAAGGAACGATCAGAGCCGGCTGATATAAGAGTCATTGTGAATAATCTGCTTCCGACTCTGAAAAAACATTCTATTCTGCAGATTTGCAAAAAGTGATTATGCTTCCTTGGATGCCATCGTTTAAAAGTGTTATATTTACGCACAGAATAATAACGTTCAATGAAAGTTTCATTCCACTTCGAACAACTAAAGGTTCGAACCGTCCTTTCGCAGTTATCTGGAATGAAAATGTTGCGGGTAGAAAAATAAAAGACTTAACAAGCGCGTTTTATCAATTTTTCTTTTTTTTCGCGATAAAAAACACGTGGTTCTTTGGTTGGATAATTCTGCCGTGCGAAATAAAAACTTAGTTAAGTCATATTTTGTTCGAACGGAGAAAATGACGAAAAACTGTTTGTATTTAAAAACCTAATGTAATATAAATAATAATTCTTTAATCTAACTTCACTTCCTAGGTAATTTAATAGAGTTCCTTTTAATTCTGAAGTCAAAAGTTAATTATTTAAACAAATTATATTAAATAATTGACTTACGTTTTATTTTTTAAAAGCAAAACTTGGTTAACTCGAGTTACGTAGTGCTTTTCGAAAAGGTAGGCGAACGCGAGCCTTCGTTCAGAAGTAAGAACTTAGTTAACTCAAGCTAAATGCATGGGATTCCGAATTCACCCGACGAAAATCCGAACTTTAACGAAGTTGACTTACGCTTGCTCCCATCGAAATGGAGTGTCCGGCTCATGCCACTTTTCGAAAGAGAATTACACTCAAGTCGAGTTAACTAAGTTTTTATTTCGTATCTTATGCTCGATCTCAACGCTTCCTACGATTTTTGGACTACTCAACTCGAGTTAACTGAGTTTTTATCAAGTATTCTTTCATTTTCTCGGTTTTTGTAGATTTTTAATAACTATTTTTTGCAATAAATAATTAAAATAAAAAATTTTTAATAACGTAATCAGACGCAGTTTTTTCTTACGAATCCATTGATACTAAAAACTCATTTTTGTCAAAAATATGACTTAACTAAGTTTTTACATCGTACGGCAGAATTGTTCGGCTCAGAACAAGAACTGGTGTCTTCTGACTTTCTTTATTTACGTTGTAAATTTGGATGACTTTGAAATAGAAACGATTGACATTTTTTATTTTGAAAGTGGACATACTTTCATGTCTTCTGACAGCTTTCATCACCAAGTCGAAGAGTCGATGAAAAGTATGAAAAATATTTACGATTATTCTGATTTCAAAACTGCCGTGAGGGAAGCTAATTCTCGAGTAGACGTAAAGTCCATGTCTCCGTCTGATTTTTCTGATTGGTAGAATTTATATTCTGCTCACAAATTGAGAAATTTGAATGCCAATCGGCCACCTTTGAATCAAATTAAACACTTTAGAGCAAAAAGAGGCAAAAATGTACTGCAATACAGCTTAGATTATAGTTCGACCAATGATATGGAAGAAGCCGATTTTCTTCAGGTCAAGATGAAAAGGGATGAAATTCCAAAGCCACCAAATCGAACTGATTATGGCGGATTTAGTTGGCGATCAAGAAGAATAATTTTTTTCGAAAATAAAATAAAAAATCAACTTCCTTAGTTAGGAAAAATCGAAAACTTCTTGTGGATTTTATTTTGAAACGCATGACATTTACATTGAGTCGAATAGAGGTACATTTAATATGGTCGGTGAAATTATGGCGGAACTTTAGTTGGCTAGTTTAATAATTTAAATGCAGAAGTAATTACTGCAACTTGCACTTTGACTAAAGGTACAAAAAAATGTGAAAAGAGATATATCTAAGAAATCCAAAAATATTAAAAGTTGATCAGGCATTGCACGATAAAAATATTTGTCCGTCCGTTTACCGAGCAAATCAAGCAGACGATTTTATTGGTGAAGGAGATTCTGAGCCCAGAATTTTATATTTCGCGAAAGTAATGCAAGTTGACAGAGCAGAGTATGCTAATAGTTTATGCTTTCATAAAGACCCAATTACAGCAATAGTAATGTTGCAACTAGGTGCTTCAAAGAACGTAATACGATTTTTAAGGACGATTATCCACGGAAATGCAGACCCCCAGAAAAAAATAATTAATTAACATTTAAATAATAAAAATAATATTGTTAATTGTACTTTCTGAAAGAAGAAATATCAATTTTAAAAAAAAAATTTAAAACTTAAAAAATTTATTTGTTTATACAATTTGCGTAGGATAAAAATTTTCTGTCACATCGCTTCTACAGAATTTTTTAAAAACGATTGAATTTCAATGTAATATGGCTTATTTTCTTCAGAAAATGATTCTTTACAACTTCACTGTGGGGATTTTTAAACAAGCAAGCCGTTTGGAAAATATGGCTATTTGTTTAAAATAAAAATTTTTTTAAACAAATAGTCATGTTTTCTAAACGGCTTAAATTAAATTATTAATTTAGTTAAATTATCTATTAATTACAGTCGAACCTGGATAAGTGACATCCCAAGGGACCAACAATTTTTTATCACTTATAGAGGTTTTTCATTAATACAGGTTTTCACTTACAGAGGTCGAAGTGCGGTCTCTATCACTTATAGAGGTTTTGACAAATCAAATTAACAATGCGAAATTTACTAAATTCATTCATTTATTTATTTGAAAAAAAGTGTTATCAGAAAATGAATCGTTTATTTACATAAATACTAATTAATTAATTGAATGAAAAAAGTCTGTCAATTTTGTTTGTTTTTTGGTTACACTATTATTAACATAAGTTTCAATTTCATAAATTTTATCAAAAATAGATTGATCAATATTCGTCGAGAATTCAAAAAATCTATGGACCGTATCCAGGCAGAGCACTTAAAACTTCCTGAAGCTTTGGAATTGAAATTTCTTGGATAGTCGAATTCTCGTCAGCTTCTTCGTCATTGTCATCACCGTTGTCGTTTGTGTCTCGGACACAATTTTCAACAATGTCGTCGACTGTCTGCTCTTCGGTGATCACTACATTGACGTCAACTCTTACGAAATCCTTATTTACTGTTTACTCATTTCTATTGCCCTGTTGAAAATTTAAATACCGAAACGATTTTCACTTATAGAGGTTCGAAACATGCGTCTTTCACTTATAGAGGTCAATCCAAGAAAATAAAATGAAAGAATTGTCACTTATAGAGGTTCGAGAAGCGCATCTTTTACTTGTAGAGGTCTGGCCGAAAAAAATATCGGTCACTTACAAATTCTCATTTATAGAGGTTTTTACATGGGAAAATGAAGGGACCTGGCAATTTCCGTCGCTTAAAGAGGTTTGTCACTTATCCAGGTTTGACTGTATTACTATTAAATCCATCAAGTCTTATATCAATATAGCACATACACCACATTTCCCATACTGAATAAATTTCTCAGGAGACGACCCTACTTTATTGAGTTCATTATTAAATTTTGTCGAAGAAACACAAAGTTTACCATCCAAATCAAATCATCTCTAATTTTTAAAACCTGGACCACTCGTGTTTTATCAAATGCATTTAATAACCATCTGGAAGAATTTAATCAACAAAAAGGAAACGTCGAATCACAAAAAATATCACATTTTCGGGTACACAAAAATTAACTCAAAACCGACACATCGTAGAAAAACGAAAACAACCTGTCTAATCACCCAGTAAACAAAGTTGGATGAAAAAGGACGATACGGTATTCCATATAGCAGCGCAGTAGCTTGAGTATGGAATTTGACTTTTTTCATATAAAACCTTTTAGTGCTATATGAGACATTTCATATGAGAATAAGGGGTCATGTCTCGAACATGCACAGTGCATGCATGAGATAGTGTGACCATACCCTAACTGTAATCTCCCTTTCGGACAGTAAGTAACTCTTCTTTATCGACAGTGAATATCTCGTTTAAAACACACCGAAATTTTAGGTTAATCTTTATGTTTATGACTGTCGTTTACGAAACTTCTGCGTACGCGCTTATATCTAAGAATGAGTTTTTACATATACTAAATCTGAAAATATATTATTTCAATAATATATTTTTAAGTATACAGTAAGAATGATTGACTATAAACCAGCTCACGAGTGCGACAAAGACACTCTTATGCGCAGTTCCATGTGCGTCTCTCTCGCACTCACGCTTACCTATGATCAGTTTGAAATTATTCTTACTTTATAAGTATTATGTTCAATTATCTTTTTTTAAAGTATAATTTGCATACTGTTTTCAAGTATCCATTTTTTCCGAGTATTTATGAAAATGTAAGCTATTTTAAATATCAAATTAAAATTTTTTCTAACATTTGAATAATTAAAAATTCTTTTTGTATGATAAAAATAAATATATAAATAACAAAAAAAATTATTAAAAGAAATTATTAAAAATAATATGTTTTTCAAATTTTTCAGATGTGCTTCATATTTAATTTAACATAAAATAAAGATAAATGTATGGAGAAAAAACAGGTTATTTTATTTACAGATAATTATGACATTGTTTTCCGTAACCCTACCAATAATAAATAAACAATTGTATGAAGAGTATCTATTTCTATCTATGACCAAAACAATAATTGTGTAAACTATTGGATAGAACATTTTCATGTATGTTTCAACCAAGTTTTCATCCCTGCACTTATTTTTTTGATACCCTAATTGATTGTCCATGGGCTTTCACAGATAGTTTCCGCCCTTGAAAGTGTACCATGACATCTAAAAAACTACGTGTTAACTTTTTTTGAGTACTACAGATCTGTAAAGCCGAATTAGGGTACGGTCACACCATTTCATGCAGTCACTGTGAATGTAGAAGCATTTCGCCATTCACAACTCAATGAAAATTAAAAATATGAATTTTTTTAAGTAAAATTCTAAAAATGTTAGTTATACTTGCATGCATGATATGATGTGACCATACTGATAAACCTAACAGCATCCGGATACTCAGAATGTCTTAAGGATATTCATTTATCTGAGGACATCCTAATTTGCCCAAACCAAATGGTATTCCCAAGATATCCATAGGATATCCTGAAATATCCGTTTCTGTTAGAAAATTCTGTAGGTTTATTTCTTAATGCTATGATTTTTGTATAAAACACTGGATAACAAAATTAAGTTTTTTCTTGACACAAAAGTAAACGCTAGTAATTATAAGAGGATTTTCCCTATACATTATAAATCGGTAAATGAAACTCTTCCATCACATCTCAGTTTTGAGAAAAACAGAATTAAAATGTCAAAAAATCCCAATTTTCTAACTTCTCGGAGCAATTTAAAATAATAATGTGACGTGATAAGCAACTTAAATATATCTCAAATGATAGCTTTATCTTTTATCGAAATTTGCAGTTTCCTCTACTTTGTTAACTTAAAGAAAGTTCCAAAACATTAAAATTTAGAAAACGTATATTAAATTTCACTAAGAGAAAAAGAAATAAAACAAAATTTTTATAATTAGTTTTGAAAAATATGTCTCTTTTATTAGTTGTAGATTGCTACTTTAACAATTTTATACGTCATAAAAATATATTTACTTTCATGTCTACGTCTGAAAATTCTAAACCAAATCTAAATGTAGATCACTTTTCAACATTCTATTTAAAAAAACGTCTATTACACCTTATATTTCTCACTGGGAGATAAACAAATTTAACATTAACTCACCAGTGTTTACTTTTGTGGCAACATATCGTTAACCAGTAATATTACTTTCTGCATCGACTTTCATTATTTAATTTTTGGTGGAGCTTCAACATAACCACTTTCATCACTATCAACTTCTTCATCTAAAGCGTCTAAAATAAAGAACATATCTTCTCTATCACGAATATCTTTATATATACTTTCAGGGAATTTTTCTTTACTAAGTTTAGATTTTTGCAAATTTTTTAAAGGTCTAGAGCTTTCTCCTCGAGGCCTATAATCGACTATCTCATCAAAATCTTCAACATCCTCAAATTCAAAGAGATGAGAATTTTGCCGTTCAATTTCTTCTTCTTCGTCTTCTTCTTCTTCTGTTGATTCTTCTCCCTCACTTCTGGAGAAAAAGCTTTTTCTATTTTCGGATTCACTATGAAGAGATGGACTGTCAGAACATGTTATAAAATTTTGAGAACCTTCAGAGTTTCTTCGAAGTATATCGTTACCTAAGAAACCATTCCTTTTATTCTTCAATTCATTTTCATTTGGGATATGAGAGTCTTCTAAACTGTAAGCTCTTTCATCACTATTAGTAGTACTTGAAGTTTCACAACCACTCGATATACTGACGTTTTCATCAGAGGACCCTTTGTTCAGAACGTCTAAAATTTTTGACAACCGCCATCCTTCTTGGTCTTTCCAGGTTTGGGCCACATTTTGTAAAGATCTTAGCTCTTCTATTAAGCGTTTTTGTTCTATTTCCTCAGCAATTGTATCCTCCTCAATAGAAAACAATTTTGGAGCACTTTTTGATCTTTCCATAGGCGGTCGATAATTTTGACCTCCAGTGCTTAAAAGAATTTTTCTTCGTGGCAAAGATGGATTTTCGTAAACTGCATTTGCCAGAGATAATCTGAAAAACAAATTAAATCACTGTATCGGGAAACTTAGTTTTAGCAAATATCAACTTCCCAATTTATAAAAATTAATTAAGGTACTTTTTGAAAACATGTACAATTATTTTTTTCTAACACACGCATCAAAAGTACATCATTTCTTACCTGTGTAGTGGGAGAAAAGTATGTATTTTCCGGCGAGTGGGAGGGAAAGTTAGTTTCCCTCCCGGTGACGTTACTAGGCGGGATGGTAAGTAACTTTCCCTCCCGATGTCGTTACTGATAGATAGAAATGAAGAATTTGATTTTGTTTTTTAACATAAATTGTTAATACTGACAGGTTATCAATTTACGAAAATTTATTTTGTAAACTTTTGACAAAATATTATTAAAGTTTCATTAAAAAATTAATAATTGTATTCAATGCTTTATTAAATATTTGTACTTTCGGTATACGTGTGTTAGAAAAAATAGTATACGTGCAACTCGGGAGAAAAATAATTCCCAGCTCGTGTGTTAACAGTTCTCGTCTTCGCTCGCAAGCACTCGCCATCGGCTCGTGCGCTCGCTACACTGCGAACTGCAAATACGTGATACTCAAAAAATTTGCGTTCAAATACATTTCTTAGTAATAATTGTTGAAGATGACTTATATTTAAAAATTCAAGTTTGTTAGATTGTTGCTCAATTTGTTTCCAAAAAACGGTAACATACAAACATTCACACTAAAATCATTATTATAAAGCTTTCTATGAAGGCAAAAAATGAATTTTTAGTATGTATTCGAAAATTATTTACCTTGCATTTTGTCTAGAGACCTTATCTCTTCGAAATTCAAGAAGTGCTTGGTGTAATCTGGAGTTTAAAGTCGATGCTAACCTTCGAGCAGTTGATTCCTTTGAACATAAGACAGCATGACATCTTAATTCAGGTCTTAATCTGCGCCCTTCATGGCGGTAAACCCATACAAACAGACGAGGATAAAAATCTGGCGCTGTGCAATAAGTAACTCTATGGGCCCAATATTCTGTTAGTCCATGATCTTTGGTTGTGGCTGTCAAACCACCATTTGTTACCGTCAATCTCATCAAAACGTCAGGTCTACTGTTACTCACATAATTACGCCACAATGTAGAAACCGGTTTTTCTACACAACCTTCCCCTACAAACATTAAGTGATGTTTTGAATTAATTTAAGAAGTTATAGAAAGCTTACATGACAATAAATATTATACATCATAATAAATATACTATTCCTCTTTTTTAATGATTACAAAACAAATTTAAATTTAACTCTCAGCTTACTGACTATGAGGCTGGCTACACCGAGAGCCAATCAGGAGTGTTAAATTTAATCATCTGGCGTACTAAACAAGTGGACTAAATTTTGCGTTTGCGCAGAATGTTTCTGTACATCTGCGACCATGGTTGTGATAGCGACAGGTTAGAAATTGGCGACCACGGTGGTCGCCAAAGCCAGCGAACTTTTCAAACCTGTCCTATTGCAATCACGGTCGCAGATGTACACAAACATTTTGCGCAGACGCAAAATTTAGTCCACTTATTTAGTGCGCCAGAGGATTAAATTTAACCCTCTTGATTGGCTCTCGATGTAGCCAGCCTCATAGTTAAGGAGCTCGCACACCTCCGCACACCACGCAGAAAACGTACAAGAGTAAGAGAGACAGAAAATTCAAATTTAAATCTACTGACTTTCTGATTGGCTCTCACTAGCTACCTGTGCAGGCAGCTAGAGGTGTGAGCGCGCCAGACTCACCGATGTCAGTACTGACCATCGTACTTTCATAGAGGCTGGCTACACCGAGAGCCAATCAGGAGGGTTAAATTTAATCCTCTGGCGCACAAAACAAGTGGACTAAATTTTGCGTCCGCGCAGAATGTTTGCGTACATCTGCAACCATAATTGCAATAGGACAGGTTTGAAAAGTTCGCTGGCTTTGGCGACCACGTGGTCAGATATACACAAACATTCTGGGAAGACGAAAAATTTAGTCCAGTTTAGTACGCCAGAGGATTAAATTTAACACTCCTGATTGGCTGTCGGTGTAGACAGCCTCAATGTAACTTTAATCGACTGTATATCGAAATATAATTAATTAATTGTAACATTACCCAAGTAGCACGATATATCAACCAGATGTCACGGTGATATCACCGGGGTATGTCACCGTGACATCAGGAAAATGTCAAAATGTCCGCCTTACGGTGATATCACCATGATATCACCGTGATATGACTCTCATATCACCTTGATGTCACCATGATATCACCTCGATGTCACCGTGTGATATCGCCGTAAGGCGGACATTTTCCTGATGTCACGGTGACATTCCCCGGTGATATCACCATGACATCTGGTTGATATATCGTGCTACTTGGGTATTGATAACACAGGTTTACAAGGTTCAGGACCCGAGCAATGATAACCTGTTTTTAAGGTAAATTTTAACGCTGAATTCGAATCAATAGTCCGTTTGTTTACTATACGTCAGGTTTTTGAGATAATTGCAATTTTAATTATTATTTTCTCATAAACTTGTTCCTAATATAGTCGGTAGGTTCACAAACAGCACTAAAGCTTGCAACAAACTTAAAGTAAAATTACCATGTCAACTTGCCAAGCTTCCGCAATAAGGTAAGCTTTTAATAAAAAATTTTGACTTGCTTGAAATGACAAGTTCACACACGATTGCAGCAACATTTATTGAGTTTGCAATTGATTTACTTGGTTTAAAAAAGGAAAAATAAATTTTTTTACGTCATTTAATTTATTGTTATTTATAAATAAACTGCAAAATCGGTTTCACGGGATAAATAGAGAATTTAATTATTATCAACATTTCAACAAAAATTTGTTGAACTTAGTTAAAAATTTAGACCGTTAGAGAGATGTAAATCCAAAGACGGACATTATGCTCCTCTGTGCTCTGTGAGAATTTCTTCTTACAGAAGAAGTGGTAGTTTTAAAACATACTTCTTTTTCTTTTTAAGCTTTGTTTTTGGTTTTTATCGCGCCCGCAGTAAAAATGCAATTTTTATTTTGATCTCTATTTATGAATAAATATAGATTTTAAGGAACATACATTTCAAAAAACCTTCTTTTACGAGTTATTACAGTTATTACAAACAACGTATAAGTATTTTGTAAAAAAATTATTTTAAAAAGTTAAAAATAATTATAAGAAATCTTACCTTTGGCCCATCCCGTCAATACATTGCCCAAATAAGCGACTTTATAACAAGGATCATATTCCGTAATTAATGCATTTCCACGATGTCTCCTCCATAATTTACCCAAACCATTTTTGAGAGATTTTAGGGTTCTTTGACCAAAATCTTTTCCAGAGGAACTATTAGATAATGAACTAGAAATTTCATCCTCAACAGGCTTTGCCGAAACGTCTCCCATTGCATTCATAGCACCTTAAATTAAAAAAACACATATATCAATTATTTGTTACAAAAGAACAAATATTTGTGTAAATTGTATCATTTATTGGTATCCAAAACAGAAACATCATTTTTTAATTCATCGACAATTGATAATAAGGAATCTGACATAAATATATATGCTATAAGAATTCATAGTTCATACGAAGAATTTTATAAGAATTTATGTGAGATCCTTATAGAATTCCTTCTAGGAACCTACCCAGCAAACACGTTCTATAAATGTTATATAACAGTGAGGACAGTTTTATAAAACATTTGTTGCAAGCTGGTTATGAATCTGTTATACATCCTCATTGTAACAGAATTCTAGAACATTGTTACAAGGGAGTTACCGATCTGTTCTATATTATGCGAACTTCACAGTTCTGTAACAATGTAATGTAACATTTCTGTAACACAATCATCACAAATGATATGTAACTGACGTTCCAACGAAGTTCTAGAACTGAGTCTGAAAAATGTTATGTAGCTGTTCTAAAATTTTGTTGCAGATTAGTTCTGGATGACATTTGTACCTACAAATCGGAAAAATTCTGCAACAGTGTAAGCCAATAATGTAAGCCCGGGATGCCAATATAATTTTAATAATGGCACCCAATAATGGTCTATAATTGGTAAAGTCATGGAATGTCCACGCCGATGCCAATGATTGGCAACCATCATTGGCAAATTATTGGCAACCAATAATTAGCCAATATTAAAAATTTTAATAATAATTTAAAAAATCAATTATTTAAAAAAAATTTGATTTTTATTATTTTTTAATAGTTATTATTATTATTTTATTTTTAATAATTAAATTAAAATAAAAAAATGGTCATCACAGTATTAGTGAAACCATTTCTTCCCAAAAAAAGTTTGTCTCACAAAAAAAATTTCACCATGAGGAAATACTTTTTTTCAAATATTCTTTGTAAAAAAATTATTAGTAGCCCAAAAGAAATATCACGATGAGAAAATAATTTTTTGTCAAATTTTCTCTGTAAATAAATTAATTAACTAAATAACGTAAATATTAGTTACTTAATTTTTTTACTACGGTAATTAAACAATAAAATTATTCGTAACACAAAAAAATATCACGATGAGAAAATAATTTTTTTTCAAATTTTCTATGTAAAAATATTATTGATTTTTTTACTACGAAAATTTAACAAAAGAATTATTCGTTGCACAAAGAAATATCACGATGAGAAAATAATTTTTTTCTTCAAATTTTCTTTGTAAAAAAATTATTTGTGACTTAAAAAAAATATCACGATGAGAAAATAATTCTTTTTTTCAAATTATCTATATAAAAAAATTATTTCTCTTAAAAAAAATCACGATGAGAAATAATTTTATGGCAAATATTCTCTGTAAAAAAATTAATTAACTAAATATAGCAATTAATAGTTACTTAATTTTTTTTTAATACGAAAATTTGACAAAAAAATTATTTTTTGCAACACTAACCTCTAAAGTTAAATTTTACACACCGAAAAGTGTGTGTAAAGAAGCTCTTTTCAAACGGTGCGTAAAGTGATTCACTTTACGCACTGAAATTTATTTTACGCACCGAAATTTCTCTCACATAATATAAGGATTGTTTTAGACCATACAAAACAACAAAATTAAAAAAACGAACTTTACCCCCACAGCACCGAAAATTTCCTGAAAATTTCCTAAAGATTTATTTGCAAACTTCGGAAACTTTAATTGCAAAGTTTAGAGAAAATTGTATAAAGATTTAAATGTCCAAAATGAGTAAATGTTTGGCGTAAAACTTGACGGAAGATTTAAATTAAATTTTCCAGAAATTTTCGACGCGAAAATTAAGTAAAGATTTAAATTAAAGTTTTGTGAAATGTTTGGCGTAAAAGTTGACTAAAAATTTAAATTAAATATTTATTAAAAATTTATACCGAAAGTTGAGTGAAAATGTAATTTAAATATTCAGTCAATTTTTGTGACGAACATTTCCTAAAAATTTAAATTAAATTTTCAGAAAAGGTTGGACGAAAATATTTGTAAAAAATACAAAAATAATATTTAAGAAGTATTAATATTATTATTAATATTAATAATAATAATAGATAGATAAATCTTTATTATTATTATTATTATCAATAAAAAAAATTTACTATCTGGGATTAAAAATAAAATAAATAATATACAAACATTGTTGCTCTGCTTTGATTCGCATTGAATCAAGTACTGCATTCTTGTTGAGCAAGAACTTTTGAAAACAAATTATGGGGTGCTGGGGATTGAACCTACGTTCGCTGCGCGCTAGCTAAAGACCATAACCACTACACTACAGATATCTGGCTGAAAAAAACAATCTTCCACACACTCTACAACTTTATATTATCGACTTTTGAGTCGATAAGTAGGATCACTTGTCTATCAGTAAGTTGTAGAGTGTGTGGAAGATTTTTTTTTTCAGCCAGATATCTGTAGTGTAGTGGTTATGGTCTTTAGCTAGCGCGCAGCGAACGTAGGTTCAATCCCCAGCACCCCATAATTTGTTTTCAAAAGTTCTTGCTCAACAAGCATGCAGTACTTGATTCAATGCGAATCAAAGCAGAGCAACAATGTTTGTATATTATTTATTTTATTTTTAATCCCAGATAGTAAATTTTTTTTATTGATAATAATAATAATAATAAAGATCTATCTATCTATTATTATTATTAATATTAATAATAATATTAATACTTCTTAAATATTATTTTTGTATTTTTTACAAATATTTTCGTCCAACCTTTTCTGAAAATTTAATTTAAATTTTTAGGAAATGTTCGTCACAAAAATTGACTGAATATTTAAATTACATTTTCACTCAACTTTCGGTATAAATTTTTAATAAATATTTAATTTAAATTTTTAGTCAACTTTTACGCCAAACATTTCACGAAACTTTAATTTAAATCTTTACTCAATTTTCGCGTCGAAAATTTCTGGAAAATTTAATTTAAATCTTCCGTCAAGTTTTACGCCAAACATTTACTCATTTTGGACATTTAAATCTTTATACAATTTTCTCTAAACTTTGCAATTAAAGTTTCCGAAGTTTGCAAATAAATCTTTAGGAAATTTTCAGGAAATTTTCGGTGCTGTGGGGGTACTTTTAAATTTATACACTCCTGCTTAATGATATTTTTCCTGATTTTTGATTGATTTATTTAATTCTATACAATCGAAATTATTCTAATAGAGAGTTGGAATTTTTCATAATAGGTACTTAACTTTAGAGGTGGGTATTGCAAAAAATGTTGTATGATACACGTGCGTAAATATTTTTTATCGTAATATTTTTTTTGGTCACAAGTTATTTTTTTTGTCAAATTTTCGTTGAAAATAGTTATTTATGATACAAGTGCGTAAAGTGAATGATTATACGAGTGTATAATTATTCTATTAGAATAATTTCGATTGTATAGAATTAAAAAATCAATCGAAGATCAGGAAAAATATTATTAAGCAGGAGTGTATAAATTTAAAAGTAAAGTTCGTTTTTTAATTTTGTGGTTTTGTATGGTCTAAAACAATCCTTATATTATGTGAGAGAAATTTCGGTACGTAAAGTAAATTTCAGTGCGTAAAGTAATATTTCAGTGCGTAAAGTTTGAAAGAGAAAGTTTGAAACACCGTTTGAAAAAGAGCTTCTTTACACACACTTTACGGTGTGTAAAATTTAACTTTAGAGGTTAGTGTTGCAAAAAATTAATTAACTAATTATTAAATATGACATTATGTTATTAATAATTATTTATTAAATAATTTATTTGTCATATTTAAAATAAAATATCTAATAAAATCAAATTTTTCAAATGTTCCCGCGCTGCGCTGATGGCTCAGCTCTGGACTTTAGTTCGCTAAAAAAAAAAATGGTTTCATTAATACTGTGAGGACCATTTTTTTATTTTATTTTAATTATTAAAAATAAAATAATAATAATAACTGTTAAAAAATAATAAAAATAAAATTTGTTTTTAAATAATTGATTTTTTAAATTATTATTAAAATTTTCAATATTGGCTAATTATTGGTTGCCAATAATTGGCAACCATCCTTGTCATCGGCGTGGACATTCCATGACTTTACCAATTATGGTCCATTATTATTGGGTGCCATTGATTTTTCATTGGCTCCCATCATTGGGCCAATTAATACGCCAATGGTAACTCGTGGTAATTTCCCATTGGGTGTTTATTTTAGAGTTTCTTTTTTCTATTACATCATGTTTTAATATTTTTATTAAGAATAAAAATATTTTGCATATATTTTTAGGTAATAATCTTGCGATAATGGTTATGTATACCATTTTATAGTTGTTACAAAACAGTTCTAGAACTGTTACAAATACATTTGTACACTTAAAAAAACTAGTAGATTTGACTACTTTTTAACTACTCTGCCTAGTACAATAGGTCCTCATTTAAATTTAAAAAGTTGTATTAACTATAAAAGAGTAGTTAAAATAACTAAGAATGTAGTTGTCAGAACAAAATTTTGTAGTTGTTTCAGTTTTAGCAGTTGATTCAACTACATTTTTTAGTAATCTGAACTGATAATTATTAACTCCATAAAGAGTAGTTCAATTAATTACACAAACAAAATGAAACTAACTAAAAAAGTAGTTACTTTAACTACTTTCCAGTCAACTATCCAACAGTAGTTGAAGATCTCAGAGAAACTTTTTTCAGTGCAACCATATTCTATATCCGTTACAGATTCTTACATATCCGCTGAGTACGACATTTTGCGTCACAAGTGACTCACAGGTTCTTCACCAGTTACAGAACATGCTCCCAAAAAATTTGTAACAGTTCTATAACTGACCTGTAACAGTGTTTGCTGGGTATATAGCATTTTCTAGTAGGGTTGAACTAAATCATTTTCGCCCTATTGAAAAATTATGACCGTAATTATTATTCTTAATACGGTGATGTATATGAAATAGAAATTACGCCCGTGATTACGAT